GTAAAAACATCAAAATATGTATTACCTTTTGGTTCGACACTTGGGAGGTCAACGCCCTGGGAAGATGGCAGCTCTTCAACTGGTTGTGATGAAGACTCTGGGACTAAAGATTTTTCTTTAAGCAGAGTCACTTCATCAGATGATTTGGATGAAGCAGCTTCAGCAGGAGTCGATGGAATAGGAGATGCTAAGACTAGAGCTTTTGAGGAGGAAGCTGAACTCTTCTGAAAAATCCAGATAAAGCATTAATACATGAATGATGGTTTTTATGAATAAACAAACTCAGTTACCTTTCTCCTAAGGATGAGAGGAGCATCATTATCATCATCATCCTGCAAAATTGGAGAAGCTGAAGCTGGCCATTTGAGGCTGGAGGCACATTTGGCTGTAGTAGCCTGAATAGGTGGAGAACCAGGTGGAAGAATATAACATTTAGCGTGAGTAAGTGGTGATTGAGGAGAATAAGTGGGATTCCTAACAGATAAAGGGGTGGCTAGGATAGGAGAAGTAGAAGAAGTATCTGGTCAATCCAGCAGGTGGAAGGCACGATTAGCATCATTTGTGAATAACCTGCGTTTCACAGATGACCAGAGTTGGTCAAAAAGGAGGTGTGTGACAGCAGTAGGATTGAAAGGAGCCAAAGAGAAACCTTTGACCAAAAGATTATTGCGAGCATCAATGGCTTGTGCCTCGATTTTATTGATAGTATAGAAATGATCTCTCAAGTTCTTAGAATAACAAGGAGGAACATGCCACATTTGGCCAAAACCAAGTTGGCAAAAAATTGGGGAGCATATATCTCAACCTCTACCTTGGCATTTGTCCCTATGATAATGTTATGGAACAGTTCTCTCCCAACCAAAAATTGAACCCAAATGGGAAAGAAAGTGCTCATTTCAGCTAAGGTAGAAGGAGGCCGCACATAAAGAGGGACTTGGTGAGGAGAAAAGGGAAAAAGGAAGACGTTGAATTCAAAGTATAAAAGAATGTAAAAAGGTCCTTGCTGGGCATATTTACATGGCTTAATTTATGAATGAATAGCCCATAGCAGCTGACTCTTCGGGGAGGAGATGGTGGAGCACCAAATTGTCGAAAATAGGCTCTCAACCACAATTGAGAAAGACAAAGAGGCCCACAGACAGTG